ATGTGTGTGTGTATATGGGGGGGCAGTATGTGTGTGTATGGGGGGACAGTATGTGTGTGTGTATGGGGGGCAGTGTGTGTGTGTATGGGGGGCAGTATGGGGGGCAATGTGTGTGTATGGGGGGCAGTGTGTGTGTATGGGGGTGTATGTGTATAGAGTGTGTGATAAGGGTAGGTTTTTTTTTTTTTTTTTAATAATATATATTATTTATTTAATTAAAATAAATATATACTCTATGTCCCCCCTCCCTTCTTACCTTTACTGGGGAGGAGGGGGGGCATATTTCGATCCCTGGTGGTCCCAGTGGTGATTCCCTGCGAGTCCCATTGGGGACAGTGAACTCTAGCCCGGCTAGTCTCGCGAGATTTGGAGCGTTGCCGTGGTAACCACGGCAACGCTGCAAATCTCGCGAGAGGAGGACCCGGAGGAGCTGCAGCCTGAGCTCCCGGATCCTCTCTCCTCCCTCTCCCTCCCCTGCCGGTGCCTGCGGACTGGGGAGGGAGAGCTCTCATGTGCTGCTGGCAGAGGAGAGGGAGACCGGCGGATTTCTCGGGGGGGGACAATTGCCCCGTTGCCCCCCCCTGGATCCGCCACTGCTGGGGAGAGAGTGAGGTGGAGCTGGGCATGCAAGAGGGAGATGGAGGTGAGGTGTGAGTAGGAGATGGAGCCTAGGGGAGATGGAACTGGAAGGAAAGAGCAAGATGGAGCTGGAGAAAGGGAGCTGATGAGAGCTGAGATGTAGCTGGGTGGGAGAGAGGCAGATGGAGTTGGGGTCAGAGGGATTTGGAGCTAGGGGAGAGAGGGGATAGAGCTGGAGGTAGAAATGAGACACTGCTTGTAAGCAGAGGCTTCCAGGGCAGCAAGAAAGTTTTTCTATGTGGAGGCCAAAAGATAGATTGGGGTCTAACAACATACCCATGTGTTTTAAAGAATAGACTGTGATCGTGTGGTGCACCCACTATAAATGCACACTGCATCAACTTTACTTATCCTTGTGGGTGCACTTGGGGGTGTCCTGGTGGACGGACTTGGGGTCTCGGCCACAATTCACATTTATGTAAATAGACCTGGGAATCTGCTACTTGTAACGGTGGGCCAAATATATAAATCTCTGTACTGTATCTATAAATAGTGTTTCATTTGTGCAGTTTTGGTGTTTGGACACAAAGCTGTTTTGTGTATAATGTTGACATTCGAAGGAGTGTTTATGTGTAGTGTTAGTATTGGAAATCAGGAATGCATTTGTGTTTAGTGTTGATTATGTAGGGCTATTTTTATGTACAGGGTTGGAGTTTTAATACGGGTGTGTGTTTGGGTGTAGTGTTGATGTTTGCTTACAAGCCAACAAAATGAATATTAAAATACACTTAGTACACACTCACACACGTATGTGTGTGTGTATATATATATATATATATATATATATATATATATATATATATATATATAAAAATCTGATCTCATAGGTGTTTAGGACCGGCCCCTTAAGTACTCCATAGCACACCTGCCATCCTTAAAGTGGTTAAATATACTGGAACAATTACCAAAATAAAATAAAAATAACAGAAGGGCTGACCCCTAATACGTACTCTTAAGCTCTATCCCTTGATCCAAAGGAGATCCCCCCCCCCCCAAATAACACTTTTTTTCAGAACTATTAAGAGACTCTAAAACAAATTGTATCTGTAGCTTTAAAGTCCTTATTATGTCCAAGTCCACGGTATCCAGTAGATTCAGTGATTTCCTGGATATTCTCCACAGTGAAAAACTATTTAAAAAGTAGATAAAAGTAGAAAATACAGTTGAAACACAGATTCTTGCCTTCTGGTATTGACTGATTACAACCAATGAAGCAATTACTCTTCTCGATATGTTTCCTTGGAGTTCAGTGCTGGCTATTACTTGGTCTGTAAAGGTATTGGCCATACAAAAAGTGGTATTTATTGATAGGCTCTCTTTTTGTTCCCATGTGAAATAAAACAAAAAAATATTTAGTTGTCTCACCTTTGTTTTCTAGGAACAGAGTGTCTGGAGGCAGAGGGAGAAGAAATACTGAGAGAAGAAATGAAGCAGTTTTGGTGTATATAACATGCCCCAGCAGCCTCACTGCTCAATCCTCTGCCATTTAGGAGTTAAATCCCCTTGTTTATGAACCCTAGTCACACCTCCCTGCATGTGACTTGCACAGCCTTCCATAAACATTTAGGCTTTCTTTATTGCAAGTTCTGTTTAATTAAGATTTTCTTATCCCCTGCTATGTTAATAGCTTGCTAGACCCTGAAAGAGCCTCCTGTATGTGATTAAAGTTCAATTTAGAGATTGAGATACAATTATTTAAGGTAAATTACATCTGTTTGAAAGTGAAACCAGTTTTTTTTTCATGCAGTCTCTGTCAATCATAGCCAGGGGAGATGTGGCTAGGGCTGCATAAACAGAAACAAAGTGATTTAACTGCTAAATGACAGTGAATTGAGCAGTGAAATTGCAGGGGAATGATCTATACACTAAAACTGCTTTATTAAGCTAAAGTAATTTAGCTGACTATAGTGTTCCTTTAATATCAATGAAATCCATCAATTTTAAGTGTATTAAGATGGACCAGAAGGTTTAAATAACACTGATCGCCCCTTTGAGCAAATTATAGTTCAAAAGTAAACTGAATTTAATCCAGTTAGTCTTTTTCCAAACAAGCTGTATACTGGATTATACAGGTAAAGAGAATCTGAACTTTGCCTGGGAAATCCATGGTGCACATAAGAAGCTGGCCAAAAAAAAAAATCTTTAGGAATTTTTTTGTTAGTCTGACGACAGAAAATAGACTGCAGTGCGAAAGGAGGAGGGACCTTTTATGCATGCAGTCTCTTAATTTGAATTATTTTTCCTGTCCTGTTTATTAACTTAATTTTGAAGGCACAAAAATGCCTAAATATCATATATTGATATTTGACAACTGCATATGTACGCATACACTGATCAGCAGCAGCATTAAAACCTGCCTAATATCATGTAGTTCCTCCTTGTGCTGCCAAATTAGCTCTGATGCATAGCGGTATGGACTCCGCAAGATTTCTGATACCTGTCCTGTGGTATCTGGCACCAAGACATTAGCAGCAGATCCTTCAAGTCCTGCAAGTTGTGAGTTGGGGGCTCCATATGTAGGATTTGATGTTAGAGCACACCAACAGATGCTCAATCGGATTGAGATCTAAGAAATTTGGAGGCCAAGGCAACACCTTGAACTCTGTCATGTTCCTCAAGCCATTCCTGAACAATTTTTGTAGTGTGGCAGGGTGCATTATCCTGCTGAAAGAGGCCACTGCAATCAGGGAACAACATTGCCATGAAGTGGTGTACGTGGTATGCAACAATCTCGAGGTACGTGGTTGATGTAACATCTACATGGATTACAGGACCCAAGTGGTCCAGCAGAACTTTGCCCAGTGCATAAATCTGCCTGCCTGCCTTCTTCCCATAGTGCATCCTACTGCCATCTCTTCCCCAGGTAAATGGTACATATATACACCAAATTTAAAAGAAAATGTTACTTATCAGATCAGGCAATCTTCTTTCATTGATCCATGGTCCAATTCTGACTCTAACATCCTCACATCCTCAATGAAGGCACTTTTCATGGTGGACAAGGTTATCATCCACTCTTACTAGTCTGTGGCAATGTGATGCACTGTGTGTTCTGACACCTTTCTATCATAGCCAGCATTAAGTTTTTCAGCAAACTGAGCTACAGTAGCCAGGGGCGTACCTGAAGCATTTGGCACCCGGGGCGGATCTTATATTTACACCTCCCCACAAAACACCCACACAGTTAAAAAAAATGTATTTAGCATTGAGCAGTGTTTGTAATTTTTTATGTATTTAGCACTGAGCAGTGTTTGTGTGTTTGAATATAAGCATGTTTTTGTATGAAGTATGTGTGAGTGGATGTAGGGGTGTGTTTGCATATAGTGTTGGCATTTGAATGCAGACGTGCATTTTTGTGTAGTTTGTTTTTTTAATATGGTGGTGTGTTTCTATGTAGTGTTGCTATTTGGATGCAGGGGTGTATTTGTGTGTAGTGGTGGCGAAATGCTGAGATGTATGCACATATACTCAACTATACACACTCTGGCACACATGTAGATACATAGACACACATACACACACTGGCACATACAGATACACAGACACATAGGTATACACAGGCAGAAAAATAGAAACACGCACAGATACAGACAAACACTGACACACATACAGATAGAAACACACAGATACAAACACACATATAGATGCAAACACACACACTTACATACACACACAGATATACAGAGACACATAGACACAAAAACACATACAGATGCACACATACAGATAAACTGACATACAGATGCAAACACTGAGACACAGATACAAACACAGACACACAGGTATAAGTGTGTGTTTATTGTATGCAGTTTGTGTTTGTGTAGTGTATACAGTGTATTTGTTTGTGTATTTTATGCAGTGTGTAGTGTATGCAGTGTGTGTGTAGTGAATGCAGTGTGTGTATATAGTGTATGCAGTGTGTATGTCTGCATATTGTGTATGCAGTGTGTGTGTATAGTGTGTATGTAGTGTGTGTGTATGCGTTTAGTGTGTATAATGTGCATGCAGTGTGTGTATGCAGTGTGCAGTGGTGTATCCTGGTTTTGTGCTGCCCTAGGCAGGACAAAACTCCCCCCCCTCCGCACCATCCCACCCTTCCCCCCTGCCCCGCCTTCTAAATACAAACACACTCACTAACAGACACATACAGTCACTAGCAGACACACACATTCACTAACAGACACGCATACACTCTCACTAACAGACACACACACAGTAACACACTCCCTAACAGACACACTCCCTGACATACACACACACACACTAACAGACACACACACTAACAGACACACACTCACTAACACACACTCACTTGCTAACACACACACACTCACTAACACACGCTCACTAACACTCACTAACAGACACACACTCACTAACAGACACACACTCACTAACACACTCACTAACATGCACTCACTAACACACACTCACTAACACACACACTCACTAACACATTCCCTCACTAACACACTCCCTCACTAACACACTCCCTCACTATCATACTCACTCACTAACACACTCACTCACTAACACACGCACTCACTAACACACGCACTCACTAACATACACACACTCACTCACTAACAGACACACTCACTCACTAACACACACTCACTCGCTAACACGCACTCACTCGCTAACACACACACACACTCACTAACAGACACACACTAACAGACACACACTCACTAACACACGCACTCACTAACACACACACACACTCACTAACAAACACACACACTAACTCGCTCACTTCTGCGGACGGCGCGTGAGGGAGCTGAGCAGAGAGCTCAGGGGGAAGTGCTCCCTCATCAGTGCCGCCCGCAAGGATTTTTACATAGCCGCCCTCCTGCCTGGACTGTTAGCCGCAGGGCTAACAAGACATTTGCCCTGGGCATTTGGGGGAGGCTTTTATTGCTGTCCCCTGGAAAATGCCACCCAAGGCAAATGCCTTGTTTGCCTCGTGG